AGAACTCAAAAAACTTAGCTCAAAACTAATCCAATCAAAAACAGGCAAATAAACTGAATAGACACTTCTCAAAAGACAAAATACAAATGGCCAGTAAGTACTGTACGTGAAAAAATACTCAACATCATTAGCGACCAGGGAAATACAAATCAAAACAATGCTGAGATTCCATCTCATCCAGGTTAAAATGGCTATCATCAAGAAAGAATACAAAAACAAACTGGGTGTTGCGGCACGTGCCTTTAAGTCCAGCACTCTGAGGCTGAGATAGGAGGATTCCAAGTTTGAGCCCAGCCTGTGCAAGTTAGTAACTTAATGAGACCCTGTCTCAAAATGAAAAATAATAAAAGGGCTGGGGATGTAATTCAGTCCAAAGGCCTGAAGTTCAATCCCCAGTACTGCAAAGAAATAAACAACAATAAATGCTGGTGAAGATGCAGGAAAAAAGGAACACTTCTACACTGTGGTGGGAATGTACATCAGTAGAGCCACTATGGAAATCAGTATGGCAGTTTCTCAAAAACTAACAACAGAACACAGAATTACTGTGAGACTCTGCTCTACCATTCCATGGTATATATCTGAAGTAATTAAGGCCAGCATACTATAGAGATACCTACAGCCACATGTTTACTGCAGCACAACTCACAATAGCCAAGATATCGGGCCAGCCTAAATGCCCATCAATGAATGGATAAAGAAAATGTGTTATATATACATAATGGAGTATTATTCAGCCATGAAGAAAATGGATGAAATTGGAGGTCATCAAGCTAAGCAAAATAAGTCAGACTCAGAAAGACAAGTAGTGTATGTTTTTCTTAACGTGAAATCTAAAACAAAAAAAAAAGATGATATAAAAGTAGACAGGAAACATTTGAAAAGCATGAAGGGAAGGGGGCCTATGAAAGACGAATAAGAGGAATAGATATGATCAAAATCTATCATATGCATCTATGAAAATGCTACAATGTAATGTCTTGTAAAATTAAAATGTACTAACATATAGCAGATATCCAGACCAGCAAGATGGGCTAAAGCTCAAGAACAGACTTTGGCACTGATGATGGGAAATAAACCAAACAGGTCAATAAGCAGTGGAGCCAGCAAGAACGATGGAAACAGAAGGGCTCAGACTGAAATGAAGGGAAGGAAGAAGGTGTGATGTTCTGCAGACTCATCAGTGGGTATGACAGAGTCCCAAACACATCATTACTTTGTGTACTGTGTTTTTAATGTCTCTCCATTATGAAAGTAACAATGCTACCAATTAAAGTGGTCACGCCATCTCTGGCTGCATTCAATTTTACCAGTGCTGAACCATGACAACCTGTACATGCTGCAACTGCAAAGAGCAGGGGTGCTAAGGCTCCCTCTCAAGTGTTTAGCAAGGGTAATTGTCAGGCCCTGAGATGGAGAGAGGAATACAAGAACATCACATATTCCTGCTGCTCCCTGCTACTGGCCCAAAGCAGAAGATGGGAGACAACACTGTCTTGAAAATGAACATTACAGAGGAATTCAATAGCATGGGGCAATGAGTTCAGCATGATGCTAAACAACAACAACAAAAAACAACACATAAAAATGAATCATGAATGCAAAAGAATATATTCTGTAGTCCCAAAATAAGGATTACACAGGAGTACTTCTAATATCAATAGTTATCATCTCAAGGCTCAAATTATAGGTAATTTCTTTCCTTATTACTTTCTGTTTCTCTTTGCTTTCCAACATGTTCATAACCCACACATAATATTTTTATAATCGGAGATAAGGTCAAATAGTAAATGTTTGTTCTTTTAAGTTGCAAATTGTGGGCCACATGTAAGCACTGGTCTGTTCAAGTATGAGGTAGAGAGCTGCCTGATTAATGTAAAATCAGCCCTTCTTAACAGCTAAACAATAGTACCCAAATAATGCAGTGAGGTCAGAGCACCCTAACATCTGTAGAAAGAGGGCTAATGTTCATTTCTTATCTCCAACAACATATAATGCAGGTGATTATGTTTATCTTTTCCTTTATAAATGTGAGGTTTCAAGAATGTCAGAGCTCCTCCTTGAACATGGGAAAGGATTAAGTACTTCAATTTCCTCCTGGATCTTGACCTGGCATAATTATGAGCCAGCAGAAACACATCTGGTCACACTGCTCAAAAGGTCTGCTGCTAAAGGTAAGCAGTGTTTGTCTTGCACAAGATGGATTACTCGTTTCAAAGACTGATAAGTAGCTGTCACAGATGGAAATAGAAACTAACACATGCTTTGCCCTATTATCTTGACAGAATTGGTTTTTTAGACCCACTACTCAAGTACCAATATATTCTTCTCCTTGTATTGAATAGGAACAGTTTGACAAAGGACAACGATCGGAAATGTAAACACTGTGACTGCCAAGAGTCCAAAAACAAAATATTCTACCTGCTACTCTGGGCAGAACTAGCACAAATAAATAGATGGAAAACTTGGGGATACATCAAATTCTCTTGTTTATACAATTCCAAAAATTCTCCCTTTCAATGCCTTTCTTTGCTCAGGTATACTAAAATGCCCAAGCAAGTAATAGAAGATAACAGTATGGATGTTCTCATTAAGATATCTCACACTAACAACCAGGGATTTAGCTCAGTGGTTTCGCCACCTGCTGTGCAAGCACAAGGACTGGAGTTCGATCCCCGGTAACAAAAAAAAAAAAATATATCTCACACTTCTACTAAAAAACTCAAATGATATCAGATTTACTAATATTTTTATAGCTAATATAGCTACAACATATATATTTACTTTTTGAGTGCTAAAAGCAGTAAAACAATCCGTTCTCCTTTTTTTTGAGACAGGGTCTCACTTTGTAGTTCAGGCTGGCCTCGAATGCCTCAGCCTCCTGAGTGTTGGGATTACAGGGGTACGCCACCACACACCCAGCCAACAATCTTTTCATAATGTCATCTGCTATACCTTATAAAATTATATATATACTATATATATAATTACATTATAATAGTATAGTCCCAAGAAAATAACAGCTGGAATATAAAGAAAACATTTGAAGAGTGGATTCCAACCACAGACCTTTCTTAAATGGCAACATAGACAACACGAGAATAAAAAGCATTAACTCTAATTACTATAAAATGCTTAAAAAGCAACTACCGTAATATGTGGGCACATAGTTTAAATGGCCCAAGGTAACTTTTCCACCTGGAAATACAGGGAGGCAACAGTGAAGTTATGTTTAAGATGCTCTGTATTAGAAAATACTGTAGAACTTGAAGTTACTGTATTGCTACCAAGGAGGCCACCCAGAGTAGTTAGAATTAGGCATCCAAAGGCTAGTGGCTGCAAAGTGAGAACTCCTTTTGTAGAAAATATTGGCCAAAGAAAAAAGTAAGCTATTAAGCTACAGTGGAACCTTGACTTACAAACTCAATCAGTTCCTAAGGGTTGGTTTTGACTCAAGTTGGTTGTAAGTCAAAATAGCTGAGATCTGGATGTTCACCTGGGTACATGCTAGAGATAACAAGAGGCAGATGAATCTTCCATTAACCTAATTAACCCAAGTTGTTCGTAAGGCTGGTCGTAACTTGAGGGTCGACTGTATCCTGCTAATGCTTTTTTTTTTTTGCTAATGCTTTCTTGACATCACCCGTGCTCTGACTCAAAGCCCACCAGAACAACAATCTGAGCTGTGTCTTGGAGTGTCCGCCTACTCCCACTGCTGCTCTCAACTAAACTCTCTGATTCTGATGCTGTTTCTCCTGTCTCCGTGACCAGTGAACATGATACTGCTGATGGCAAAGCCCAAAGACAGGGCCTTTCTAGGAACCCACTTAGCCTTCTGGCTTTGTAAATAATCCAAGACAGCTGAGAAACCAAAGTAGTGTCTTTTTAGATTTTTTAAATAACATCAGTGTTAATAACCAAAAAAGGCCTTAATTTAGCTTCTCAGGTCTAAAAGAGCATAAAAAAATAAAGTCACTTAACAGTCAGAAAGGTGCATACAACATATTATAAAGCTCTGTTGGGTTTCCATTCATTCATTCTTTAAAAAAAACATTAAAGCCACAAAATGTGCTGTGCTGGATGCTGCAGAATTCAGGCATGCACAAGAAATCCAACTGAGAAGAGAATGGCTAGGTTAAAACAAGAGGGAAAAAAGTCTTTATAGATGTAAAACTCAGAACAATAGAAAGGCAGGTAACTGCAGCTAGAAAAGGCTGCACATGGAGGCAACATGAAGCTGAGCTGGAAGGACGCACAAGACTTCTACAGTGTAAGAATGAAAAGCAAAGACATTCTGCTCTCTGAGGAGGGGCTTCCCAAAGACACAGAGACAGGAAGTACAGGTGCACAGCGGAAGGGGGTACACCTGGGGACCACAGTGGAACCAGTCGGCTGACGAACAGAGGCCAGGTCAGGGAGGGTTTGGAATGTCAAGAGTCCGAGCTGGGCAAAGGACAGGAAGGGATGTCTTCTGAGACAATGACTCCAGAATCCGGCTGCACATCAAATGCCGCCTGGAATGCTTTACACGAAACTTCTCAGACAACACCAGGAACAGGAAATGGTCATATTTGGGAATATAGGTCGGTCTCTCTCTCTCTCCATACATGAAAGGCAAATGGTATATGTCAGGCATAGCACTACAAACCTAAGAGAAACTCAATAAATTCTCATTGAATTTGGTAAATGTACTAAGTAAATGTTCATGTTCCTCAAAGGAGGAAGTCTTGAGCTGGCTGTGATGCCACACACCTATAATCTCAGCACTTGTGAGGCTGAGGCAGGAGGATCACATGAGTTTGTGGCCAGCCTGGGCCACATAGTGAGTTCAAGGCCAGCCTCAACTACATAATGAGACCTTGTCTCAAAAAAAGAAAAAATGAAGTCTTAAAAAGCTAAGACTTTTATTTAGTCTTTATTTTTAAAAAAGAAAACAGGAGAAAATGCTTCTCCAATTTTTTTCCTTCTTTTATTTAGTTTTAGGACATCATAATTCTTACCTTTGCTGCTAAGGCCGTTAAACTGTCAAGGAATCTCTGCCAGAAATTCTTGAAGAGTGGGCGGTCAATTTTCTTCAGACTGTCTTTGGTGCTGGCATCCACACTGACATACAGCTGAGTAACTGGCTTCAGATTTCTTGGTTTAAAAAAAAAAAAAAAAAGTTATCCCTACCTCAGGCCTTTTGTGACACAGGATTTACATAGATGTGGTGACTAAACATTTCACTGGGTCTTGAGGCTTCTAGAAGACTAAACTAATGATTGAATAAAGTGAGAAAGAAACTCCCTGGTTATTTATTTTAAATGACTGGACACCATCCCTAATAAATTGAAAACAATTACTTGAAATCAGTAACTTTTCCAGCTTTAGGTCTTAATGGAAAATAAACAAAATGAAATCTAACTTTAGGCCTGGCAGTGTCACCCCAGCAGGTAGAGGGGCTCTCAGACCTACCTTTCCCCATAAACTCTGCTACCCAGACTTCCACAGTTGAAACCTCACAAGTGTGCGGATTCCAGAAGTGGAAGTGGGGTGTGTGAGCAAGCACTGACCTTGAGAGAAGTTTTAAGCAAAGCTGGAGTAGAGCTCGGGGAGAACTGGCTGCCGCAGACACATACTGTTCTCTGCCTCTAATCAGTTTCCATGAACACACTCGGTCTAGACTTCTCTGAAATCCATAATCTCCTTCCTATTAGATATCTTGCAAGTTATGCTTTACACCTAGACTGGATGCTTTCCAAAGCCTCTCCCTGTTTTCTTTCAAGTGGGTCTTCTCTTCAGGGAAGTTAGAACTAACTAGAAGAAAGAAATCCCCTCTTATTAATCCTCTTACCAAATTCTCTTACTGTTAATTTTCTACAATTCTTCCACAATATTTCACATTTACCTCTAGACTATTGTTTACATGTTACTTTTGTTTCAAAGTCCATGCACTTGGAAAAACAGAGATAACTCACATGCCACAAAATTCACCATTTTAAAGCAGTCTGTGTGCTTTTTACATCTATCAGTACCAACCTTATGTATCACTGAGTATAAGACCTTAAAGGGCTGGCTTCTTATCCAGCCTCATAGGCAGATACTAAAGGCGATGTTTTAGTGAGTACTGTTGACTGAGGCAAGCAAAACTTTTAAGCTAATGTAGGCCAAACAAATGTTTGCAATGATCTGGCCTAGCGACATACAGAAAATAAGAAGCATCTAGACCCAAAGTTATTAAGAGTGAAGCAGCTCTAGGCAGAGAAGGTGAGCCGGTCCCAGCACCCAGAAAGAAGCTCCCTGCCTCCATCCCAGGCTCCTAGGGCAGAGAAGCTAGGATGGTCCCAGCACCCAGAAGGAAGCTCCCCGCCTCCATCCCAGGCTCCTAATGCAGAGAAACTGAGCCAGTCCCAGCACCTGGAAAGAAGCTCCCTGCCTCCATCCCAGGCTCCTAGGGCAGAGAAGCTCAGCTGGTCCCAGCACCCAGAAGGAAGCTCCCCACTTCCATCCCAGGCTTCTACGGCAGAGAAATTGAGCTGGTCCCAGCACCTGGAAGGAAGCTCCCTGCTTCCATCCCAGGCTCCTAGGGCAGAGAAGTTCAGCTGGCCCCAGCACCTGGAAGGAAGCACCCCCACCGCCATCCCAAGCTCCTAGGGCAGAGAAGCTAAGCCGGTCCCAGAACCCGGAAGGAAGCTCGCCTGCTGCCATCCCAAGCTCCTAGGGCAAAGAAGGTGAGCCACATGTGTGCCAGAAGCACCCCCTGCCCTGTGGAAATGAGAAAACACATAAGCAAGCCTCAAAAACAGAGTTCCAGATCACCTACAGCAACCCCAAAGGGAAATGAGATGGAACAATCTGATACTCAACCACCTGAACTCTCTGAACTGGCAACAAAAGAGGAT